CTGCGGCTGGGTGGGCCGCGTGGGCGGACCCCGACCTGCTCGCGCGGGGCTCCCGGTAGAGCCCCGGAACAGCTTCTTCCGCCCTGCTCCGGGGGCCGGGAGTGCGTGACCCCCGGGCTGGCTCTGGGACCTGGTGCCGGGGCCCTCCGCTGCGATCTCTCCCCAGCCTCCTTTAGACTCAGACGTCTCGAGACCCACTTGGGACGCTCCATGGCATTTGGTTACATTTGCGGGGAATTCTTTATTCATTAGAATATGAGAAAATCAGAGTTGAAAGGAACCGTAGAGATGACTGAATACTTGTCCAGACCCTGAATTTTGCAGACGAGGAAACTGAGGCCCGGGGAGTGGAGGGTCGTGGCCAGAGCTGAGCTGAGACCAGCTTTCAAGACTCCGGTCGCCCCAGTCAGCTCCCTTATTTCTGGGTGTGCCCCTTTTCCTGATTCCCCAGCCCCTAGGCCCCCCAAAACAGAAAGGTTTTTTCTTATGCAGTTTTTCCAACTGGCTTCTTTCTGGAATGTTCTCCCTGACAGACTCTGCGCATGCCCACTTGAGTGATCTTGCTTGCTCTCGTGTGTGTGCGCTCTCGCTCTCTCTCTCGCGCGCGCTTTTCTCTCTCTCACACACACACACGCACACACACGCACGCATGCACTTTCCAGCCTAGCCCAGCTGCCTCAGAATGCAGCACTTGTCATGAGTCAGGAAGGGTCAGCCGCTCCCTCAGTACAGCCTATGCAGCCCAACGGCTCCTGACCTGGTCTCAAAGTCACCAACAGGGCCAGGTGGCTGTGTACCTTCCAAGGTGACCCTGGTAGGCCTGAACATGACCCTAGGACATCTCAGATCCTGGGGTAAGAGAGGCTGGGTGTTTCTAACACTCTTCTTCTTGGTTTGAGACTCTATTTAGCCAGGGGCCTCCCCAGTTCTCTTTAAAATGAACCTAAATCTCCGTGACAGGGTTGAGGCCAGGTTTACGTCCGAGGACACTCACTAGCCTAAAAATGGCCCCCGTGCTCAGTCTGAGCAGAGAAGAGCTTTGTGCTGATCCTAATCCAGTCCTTTACTAGTTGTATAATCTTGGGTAAGTGATTTAACCTTTCAGAACCCTCAACCTCCCCATCTGAAAAATGGAGATATTAAGAGTCTTCCTCGTGTGATCAAGAGAATACATACAGAGCAGGGATTCTTAAACTTTCATATGCATGGAAATCATGCAGATCTCTTTAAAATGTAGATTCTGAAGCCAGGCTCGGTGGCTCAGCCTGTAATCCCGTGCCTTTGGGAGGCTGAGGTGAGTGGATTGCCTGAGCCCGCGGGTTCGAGACCCACTCAGGCAACTTGGCAAGACCTCATCTCTACAATAAATCAAAAAATTAGCCGGGCGCGGTAGCACGCGCCTGTAGTTCCAGCTACTTGGAAGGCTGAGGTGGAAGGATCGCCGGAGCCCAGCAGGCCAGGCTGCGGTGACCAGGAGCAGCCACTGCACTCCAGTCTGGGCGACAGAGTGAGATCCCAACTCAAAATAAATAAATAAAATAAAATGTACATTCTGATTCAGGGTGGGCCTGAGAGACTGCATTTCTGACTTCCTAGGTGAGGCCAACACTGCTGGCATGTGGACCACTGTGGGCAGTGAGATAGAGAACCCCCAACACAAGTCAGTACTCAGTAAAGGACTGCCACGTTACCATCGCCACTGTCATCACCGTGGCGTTCATGCTGGGAGTGCAGGAGCAGCCCAAGGCAGGCACCGGCCTGTCCAGGCACTGGCTCTTGTCCTTATCACTCATGTCATCCACTCCCCTCCTCCTGATTCTTCCTCCTGGTTGTACAATCAGCTTCTGGGGTTCCTGCATGCGCCAGGGAGGATGTCCAGGCTGCAGGAACGCTGCCTTAAGGTCCTCCATTTTTGCTGTATAGGAACTAGTGAAAGGGGTCCCAAGAGACACAGGCAGGCCCCCTGCATGAAAAACTGGAATTAAGGGAACTGAAAGGAGACCACGGCCAAGCCACATCCTCTCTGGGCCCTTAGCCTCTTTCCTCATCTGAGTCCAGCAGCTGAGTGTGCGTTCTGTCAGCTGACTACTGCAATGGTGGCCCAGCCTCCATACCCGATGAAGCCACTGCACGCCACACTCTGGCAGAGCCTCCACTAGGCCACTGCCCACTCCTCTGGGTAACGCCTCACCAAACTCAGCATCTGGGCTGTTCACAGTGGTCTTCAGGGATCCCTGCCAGCATCTCCACTTCCTGGATAGCTGGGGCCACACAGGAGGGCCCTGAGACCAGGTTTTGGAGGTTGAGGGGACCTCGAGCGTTTCTGCCCACCATGCTCAGCACTGAGACTCTAAGGAAGATTCACCTAATGTGTGAGTCCCAAGCCTAGGAATTTTCCTTGGCATTGTCCCTCCTTTACCTCTCACATCCCTGGCATTGGTCACCTCCCTCCATCTCTGCTGGTACTTCTCTCATCAGAGTCACCCCACGTCCTCTCTGATACCTGCGCCACAACCTCCTAATATCGTGTCCTGCTTCCCAGCCCTCCCCCTTCCATTCTAGGATCCAGGTGACAAAGTGATCTTTTCAAATCGCAAAACTGGTCATGTCACCCCTGGGAAGGCAGCCTGAGAGGCCTCGCCTGGCCCGTCTGCCCCCACGGCTTCCCACACCTCCCTTTGCTCTCTCCACTCCAGCCTCCTGCTTCTGCCAGTTCCCTGGGCGCTCTGCTTCCTCCCACCTGGAAGCCTTCTTTTTTTAAGTTGGAGTCTCACTCTGTCATCCAGACTGAAGTGCAGTGATCACTCCGGGCCACCGCAGCCTCGACCTGCTGGGCTCCAGTGATCCTTCCACCTCAACCTTCCAAGTAGCCAAAACTACAGGTGCACGCTATCACACCCAGCTAATTTTTGATTTATTGTAGAGACAAGGTCTTGACAAGTTGCCCGGGTGGGTCTCGACCCCAGAGGCTCAGGCAATCCACTTGCCTTGGCCTTCCAAAGTGCTGGGATTACAAGCTGAGCCACCGAGCCCAGCCATTGGAAGCCTTCTTATCTGTTCTCACGCTCTCCCTTCACCCCCTCACCTGATGCACCTGCAGCATGACAGCCAGGCCAGTGCAGTTTCCTGTGTTGTAGTTCTTCAGGGAACCACATTTCCTTTCCTTCAGAACACTCAGCTCTGTATCATCACCTTTTTTCTTTTTTGAGTTGGAGTCTCACTCTGTCACCCAGACTAGAGTGCAGTGGCATGCTCCGGGCCACCGCAGCCTCAACATGCTGGGCTCTGGCGATCCTTCTGCCTCAGCCTTCCAAGTAGCTCGAACTACAGGCACGCGCTACCACGCCCGGCTAATTTTTCAATTTATTGTAGAGATGAGGTCTCGCCAAGTTGCCCAGGTGGGTCTCGAACCTGCAGGCTCAGTCAATCCACTCACCTCAGCCTCCCAAAGCACGGGATTACAGGCTGAGCCACCAAGCCCGGCTTAATCACCCATTTTTAAGTGCGGATATCTCATGAATGTCTATCTCTCTAGCTGACCATGAGGCCCTTAGGGGCAAGAACCAGGTTTTTGTTCACGATGGTTTCTCCAGTACCTAGCCCAGAGCCTAGCACACACTGAGTACGTGCCGAGTAGGTACCTGTGGACTGAGGACACCTAGGAATGAAGGCAGGGAGATCCCAAGCTGAAAACAGACCCTCAAGGTGAAAGAGCACTCTTGGAGCTACGGCTCCATCCCACAAAGGCAGGAAGAACTGCCAGGCCCCGGGCATCAGGTGCGGTGGGAACCAGAACCTGGGAATCAGCAGAGACCAGCCTGTGGCAAGCACCGTATTTGCATGGGAAGGACTGACTGGCTCTCATATTGCTCTGGTAACAGGAGGGCTGGCGTCTTCTCCCTTTCCTCCTGTTTCCCTCCACTCAGACCCTTCCATATTTCCACCAAGTGTCAAAGTACACGTAAGGAGGCCTAGACAGTTCAGGAACCATCTCCGTGGCCAGTCCCATTTCAGAACAACAGAGAACAGTGGAAAGGCACAGTGAGTCCTAGATCTGCCACTTAAGGATTGGGGTCCTTGAGCAAGTCACTTCACCTCTGTAAGCATCAATACTTTCCCCCTTAAAGTAGAGCTCATAATACCTCTTGAATAAGATTCAGGAGTAAATAAAACGGAATACAAAACACCTCAGAGAGCTCTCTGCACATAGTGGGGGCACCATGAATATTTGTTGAATAATACATGAGTGAAAGCTTTTTAATAAGTTCGGAAATCTCTTTTCTGCATGAATATTAGGTTTGGATCCATGCAAAATAAGTTACACCAATTAATCAGTTTACCCATTCCATCATACACACTTGGAAGACTTTGAAATTAAAATGCACATATGCAAAGCAACCTGGCAGGGCCCTGGGAGGATCAAATGTGATAATGTATGAGAAAGCGCTCTGTAAACTGTGAAGCCCTGTACAAATGCTAGTTGTCCTCATTACGAACATGTTTACAGCTCGGCTGGCCCTGAAATTGCTGGCTTAACCTGAAAGGGAAAAGCGGGCAACCTTCCAGAATTCAGGGTTAGGCCCAAAAGTCCCCAGATAAAGAGGCCTGGACTGGACAGTGCACAGACCACCCTCCCACGGCCCTTCCCCCACACTCCGCAGTCGCAGCCAGATTTCCAGTTGACTCAAGCAAGCTGTGGTGGGCTCAGAACCTCTGCAATGGGGCAGGCAAATGGGGCACCTGCTGCCCTTGACTACCCAGGCCGGGGGCCACAAACACAGCCATCCCTAAGAGCTGGAAGAGTAAGCAGGCCAGGAGGGGGCTGAGGGAAACCGAGGCACACAAGCAGCCATGGAGGGAGGGGGGCAGCCATTATCCCAGTCTAGCCAAATGCTGGCGTTGTGCAAGCCCACTGTTGCCAGATCTTTTTCTTTTTTTCCATGAGAAGCCAAAACTCCAGATTTTTATGTGAAATTTTTTGATTTTTTACATACTGGCAACTAATTTTTCTAAATGTTTAAAACACTACGTGGGCCAAATAAAACATGTGTGCAGGCTGCATGAGCCAGTAGCCCCCAGGCCACAGCCCTGGCAGGCAGACCTTCAGTTGCCACCAGCCCATGCCACCAGTTCCTGGGACCTGCTGGAGACCCATGTCTCTGACCCTCGAGGCATCTTGGCAGGCCCGGAAGAGGCTGGCCCTCGTGTCGGGACTCACCCTCTTCTGTAGGGGCTCCTCGGCCCTCCTTGGGGGTGCAGCAGCCATTCTCCACTGCTCTGGAGGCTTCAGGCGGGGTCTCAGCTGCACCCTCTCCCTCTGCTGGGGCCCCGCCCTTCTGTCCCCCAGCAGGACTCCCCTCCTCTGGCTGGGGCTCACTCCGCTTCTCCAAGTCCCCGTTGGGTAACAGCTCTGAGGAGCCTGAGTCCTGGGCCATGGATGGGGACTTGGAGGTCACTGCAGAGTCCTTTGGCGTGTCACTGTTTTCCACCTGAAAAGAGGAGAGAGACACACAAGGAGAGGATGAGACTTGCGGTCTCAGCCTGTTTTGAATCATTGGCTCCTCTAAAATTCTAGTGAAAGTTATATACTTTCTGTCCAGAAACTGTTTACATAAACCTTCATGCAAGCAGCTACAGTCACAATTTCGCTTTCAATATCAAAGGATTCATAGGCCTGAACTCTTGAAGTTGAGGGTTCTGTAAACCTAAGAAACAGAAAAGCCAAGTATGGTGGCTCATGCCTGTAATCCCAGCACTTTAGGAGGCCAAGGTGAGAGGATTGCTTGAGCCCAGGAGTTCGAGACCAGCCGTGGCAACATCGCAAAACCTCATCTCTACTAAAAATTAAAAAATTAGCCAGGCGTGGTGATGTGTGCCTATAATTCCAGCTACTTGGAAGACTGAGGTAGAAGGATTGTCTGAGTCCAGCAGGTTGAGGCTGTGGTAGCTGTGATCATGCCACTGCACTCCAGTCTGGGCGACAGACTGAGATTCCCACTCAAAAAAAAAAAAAAAGGAAACAGAAACAGAAAAAGAGGAAAAATCCAAGCAACTGTGGCAGGCTGGTTCCACCGCCCAGGGCATCCTCTACTCTCCCAGCCTCTCATGGAGGTTACACAGGGCCTTCTAAGCAGCCCCTACTAAGAAATAAATGCGAGTCGGGCTCGGTGGCTCAGCCTGTAATCCCAACACTTTGGGAGACTGAGGTGAGAGGATTGCCTAAGCTTAGAGGTTCAAGACCAGCCAGGGCAACTTGGTGAGACCTCGTCTCTACAATAAATCAAAAAATAAGCCATGCATGGTAGTGCACGTCTGTAGTTCCAGTTACTTGGAAGGCTGAAGTGGAAGGATTGCCTGAGCCCAGCGGGTCGAGGCTGTGGTAGCCATGAGTGGCACTGCACTCCAGCCTGGGCAACAGAGCGAGACTCTGACTCAAAAAAAAAAAAGAAATAAATGTTCCTTGTGTATCATGCAAATCAGGACTCCCTTGGAAGATCCCAGGGCCACCAGATCCATTCTGGGGAATCAAGCTGCTCTGATTTCAATGGTCAGGGCCCTCCCAGCTTCCTCTTGGTCTCCGGAGGCATGAGGGTTGGAGGAAGCCTCCCAAGAGGCATTCTTTGGGCTCCAAGCCTACCACAGCTCTTTCCTCCTTGACTTGGGCCCCCAAAGGTTCTGCTAGGCACTCAGACCCAGAAGAGCCAAGACCCCAGCAGACAATGTGCAGTCTCTGCAGCAGCCCCTTCCAAGCACAGGGTCCCACACTCTCCTCCAAAGGGGAAAAATGCATTGTTGTATCCCCTAGAGTCTGAGAACAAACCTCACTAAAGTTCCAGGTAATAAAAATCAAATAAAGAGGCTGGGCTCAGTGGCTCATGTCTGTAATCCCAGCACTTTGGGAGGCTGAGGCAGGAGGACTGCTTAAGCCCAGGAGTTTCAGACGAGACTGGACAACATAACTTTGTCACTACAAAAAATTAAAAAATTAGCGGTATGATGGCGTGTGCTTGTAGTCTCAGCCACTCGGGAGGCTGAGGTGGAAGGATCTCCTGAGCCCAGGAGGTTGAGGCTGCAGTGAGCCGTGGTCATGCCACTGCACTCTAACTTGGGTAACATAGTAGGACCCTAACTCAAAAATAAAATAAAATAAAGAGTAATCCTGGCTGTTTCTCCTCACCCATGATCCCTCTAGAGTTTCTCAGCCTCCCTGGGAAGCAGGTGAGGAACACGAGGCTCTCTGAGAATTTTGTGATTTGCTCAAGGTCACAGGCTTTGCAAAGACAGAGCGCGAGCAGGAGAGCAGGATGTGCTCTGTGCTCTGCTGTGTGCATACTCAATCCTCAGCCATCTGGAGGCAAGTGGGCCAGGAGGCCTCAGAAAGAGTGGAGGTGTCTGGCTTGGGGCAGGAAAAGGCAGGGTTCCCTGTGATCAGAGCTCTGCACACCCAGGGCAACCTGCCGGGCCAGATCCATTTGCAGAATGCCTGCCCAGTAGAAGAGCAGGGGCGGTACCAGTTCAGCAAGCCTCAGATAAGGTCCTGCTCTTAGAGAGAGCCTCTGTTTCCCCAGCAGGTGGAGATGACTAGATCAATGGAGGTTTTGCCATTCTTTCTTTTTTTTTTTTGAGTTGGGAGTCTCACTCTGTCACCCAGACTGGAGTGCAGTGGCCGCTCCCAGCCACCGCAGCC